CAAAAGTTTAACCGCACCGAAAACCGAATCTTAAAAAACCGAACCGAACCGCACCGAATACATCGGTTCGGTTCGGTTTTTCGGTTTCGGCTCGGTTTTGCTCACCCCTAGGCTCGGCTTATGGAGCAATCCATACTTAATCACCAATAGTGCATTAACACGTGTCCTACAATAAATACAATTTAGACAGGTGTCACTATATTAAGTGATGAATGGCTCCATAAGAAAACAATCCGATGGCTCCATAGAATTTTTGATTGGGTATATGTATGGTGTGGTCTGGTCTTAAAATTTCAAGCCCATTAGCATAAATTTTTTTGAAGCCCAAATTCCTAAACATATTAGGTACAAACCCTAATTTTTTTTAAAAATTGCCAACATGAATTAATTGAGGATTTCCTTATTCAGCTCTATCCTTGCCGCCCGTCTCTTTTTCAGCTTCTTCTCAATTGTTGTTGTTCATTGACGGCAAAAAATTGAGGGTCAATCAAACGGATAGCGAAACTTTCAGAAATTGGAAAAGTTGAGACATGTATTTTTTGTGTTATATTTTTTGTCTGGTTTATTTTTTTGCGATGGATTTGGGACAGGACGGGCGGGGCGGGGCTACCTGCCCCAGAACAGGCTAGGGCACAGGCCTGGCCGGCTAGACACGTCACGTGTCACGGGCTAAGTCGGGTCCATGGGGCAGGGGTGCGGGCCAGGTCCGGGTCCGTAACTACCGACCCGACTTGGCCCATTGCCATCCCTAGTTAAACTCGGCTCATTAACTGAATGAGTCTTAAACAAGCTCAAGCTCAGCTCATTTACTGTAATTCGAGCTTTAGCAAACTTCACGAGCTACTCGCTTTTGTGGACCAAAATAAAAAAATCACACTAAATAATGATCGACCATTAAATTTAGTTGAAGAACCATAAGTGGAGTAGAAAAGCAATAATCAAATAATAGTTGTCTTGAGCAGCCTAGTCGTTAGACTGGTCGATCCGCCATACTTCGAATCAAAATGCATATTTTTACTATCCAATGTCATATTTTGTTATGTTTCTGATTGTATTTTTTTTTAAAAAATATAACATTGTATGATAAAAGTATGCATATGTTTAAAAAAAATGTATGATCGTCTAACAGTTAGAAAACATCCTAATACAAGAGCTACGGTTCTCATAGTTACCATCTCAAATATTAATGAATCTTTCCACCATAGATTCTATAGATCCATCGAATGACAGTGTGTATTTATTGTAAGACACATATTAATATACCATTTGTGAATAATTATGAGTGACTCCATAAGCAGAGTCATCCAGTTGCTCCATAGCAAAACCGCCAACTTATAAACAATACATAATTATTGTGCCTATAAAAGTTGATACTTGCTACATATCATAAAAATCCAAACCCAATAATTTATCTTATGAAATATTTTTCATGACTTAATAATCTCGTATTTGCAAAATTTTGAAATAATTATTTTTAGTATGAAACCGACAGGTTGACAATCTTGCCACTGGAGTTGAAAAATAGTCTCGACTTTAAAAAGTGATGAAAAAAGTAAACATGGAAGGTGAAAAGTGTCTGACAGGAAGCAATTGATTGGGGACCCAAGCAGCACTAGTAAAGGCCATTTGTGGCCTTTTAGAACGAGAACGGAGCGTTAAGATTCAACATGTTCGAAGCTAATTTTGTGGCGGACCATATGTCAAACTTAGCAGTTTACTCGTCAGTCGGGTTACATCGGATTTCCTCCCCCTCCCCCCCCCCCCCCCCNCCTCCCATTGGATTGGGAGCGTGGCTTCAGCATGACCTTATTGGGATTTCTTACCCCCAGCGTGTTCTAGCCTAATTGTCTTCTTAGGCCTCTGGTCTCCTTTATTGTACCCAAAAAAAAAAGGAGTGGAAACTTTTTCAACAATTTGGCTAAAGCATTTGAAAAATTGGTCGATTGGATCGTTTATTTTTAATTATAAAATTATTTTGAATATTTAATAAATAGGTATTTAAATATTTTGTGCATGCACAAATTGTTATTGAGTTTCGGCAATGAAATTGTTTCAAATTATATGAATATTTGATTAAAAAAATGTTTTTTTTACGGGCAGAGAGAGTGAAAACAGGAGGTAAAAAAAGCAGATCTATCATAGACAAAAAAAAAAATATTAATTACATTTGCAAGATTTTTTCAAATAAGTCCAAACTGATGAAGGCCTGAATCTCAATTTATTCGAATTTTTGTGGTACACCTTAATTTGACATTGGCATTTTATATGTCCTTTTTCATTTCAAATAAATGAATACATACTAACTAACAAACAAAAAACTAGGCTCACAAAACACATGCACAATATCAGTAGGTACAATGTGAAAGACCAGCTAATGTAAGGAGGAAACAAAAATGAAGTAGTAAGGCCGCGATTGGATATGAGTCGTACCCGATTTTAACCGATTCTGACCGATTGAGTTATATATCAATCAAAGTCCAACTCAACTCAACCCAACTCTCATATTTCTTTTATCAATATGATTAAATAGTTTCAATCAATCATTCTCACACATCACATCAACTTAATTCACTATTCATCCATTCACATAATTTTAATTACATATAACTTCCAGCAACTTTTCTCCTACTCTTACGTTACATCAACTTTAATCGTTATATTATAAATATTATTAATTACAAACTCAAAATCATCCACTAAATCAACTTTATTCAAAATAACCCACTTCAACGAACAAAATCCAACCAAAACCATTTACATTCATATACAATCACACCCTAATTCTCACTTCACTAGTTTAAACTTATTTCACATGGTACAAACCATTGGCAATACAAACACACACAAACTCACATCACATCCAACAGGTATATATATCCACCAAAATCATCCTACCATACAACAAAGTATCATAAATTATAACCCCAAAAACAAAAAACAAAAAAACATTATATATGTACCTCTCAAGGAGATTGCGGCCAATCGAAACCCGAATCCACTGCATCAACATCGTCGTAAAACCACATCTCAACATCCTCAACCGAGCTCCCATCATCATCATCATCATCATCACTACCCATCATCCCACCATGCTCGTCATACCAATCATCATCGACATCCAAACTCTCCCCGGCCACAAAGTCCCACGCCAAATACCCCGACGAGCCCGAGAGCTCCGAAAAAACATCGTAACAATCCACAACAACGGGCCCCACCACTCTCAACCCCTTGAAACCTTTCACGAACCCTTCCTCCAAATTCACGTCCCAACACCCCCGAACATCGAGCAATTCGAGCTCCTTGCAATTCTTGATTATCTCGACAACACTATGCGTTCGGACGAGCAAATAGGCAATCTCGAGTTGTCGGAGCCGAGGCATGGTGCCCCCCACCGCTAGGGCCTCGTCGTCCTGAAACGGCTTCCCGACCACCTCCAATGGGTGCATAACTCGCCGGAGGCTCGTCAGGGAGCGGCAAGCCCGGCCCACGGCCTCGAGCCCACGGGCCCCGACACGAATGCAGTAGCTGAGGTCGAGGGAGGTGAGGGACGAAAGAGTCCGAGAGGCTCGTGCCATTATAGGGTCGGTTATCTCACTCCTTGGGAGACGTAGGGCCCGCAGGGATTGAGCGCTTGTCGGGACAAATTTATTTGGAAATAAAAAAATAAAGTGTTGGTTAAAATATTTATGACTAAAGGATGCAGAAAAACAACAGCAAAAACATGCATCCATTTTGCCTCGCAACGTAATGTAATCTTTTTATAAACCGATGCGCGAATGGAATGCCTAAGCACAATCATTCTTTTTGGTGATGGAAAGAAAGTGTTAGAATATGTGAAATTGTAATAAATTAAACAAAAGCAGAGTAGCAAAAAGCTTTCGATTTTTATCGACATAAATCCCGCCGGTCGAGATTATTAACCATAAATGATACTACCCCGCACCTAAACTACTGATATAAGAAACACCCTTTTTCTTAATGATCCCAAATGAAACTAAATGAAAGCTGAAAATCACAACCGCAACAGAAAAGGTTAAGTCTTACTGATTCGCAATGAACACAAAGCTCTGCTCACTAGAGAGACCATAAACAGCTAGTCTCCTCAGCGAACCACAGCTTTTCGTGATCAGCAATTGAAGCATTCGGTCGATAATATCGGGCTTGCATTCTTTGCTCCATTCCTCGATGTCTATCTCTTGCCAGCAGTAAGGCCCGTTTACGGCTTTTCCCCACGCTTTGCAAACCCTTGGAACTACTGTTAGTATCTCAAGTAGTGAAAGATTCTTGAATATCAAACCGAGTGCATCGGGTATTAATTCGTCCCATTTTCGAAAGTCGTCACATCCCTCCATTTTCGTGTAGATTTTTTCCTAAAAAAGCTAAATCAAAGAACAAATCGACTCAGATTATAAGAGATATTGAAAATTCGCACTCAGGTTCCTACAAACCAGGCAATGCCTATACACCTAATCCACCTAAATATGAAGCTCATGAAAACCAACTGCAGCAGATAAAGAACAAGAACAGAGCAAAAACAGACAGCCATAAGTCAGCAGCTAGCTACACAGACAGATAAAAAAGGAGAAATCTTGACAACCTCAATTCAGACACAGACAAAAAGGGCAACAAAATTAGTGCTTTCACAAGAAATTTTGCAGCAGCAAATTAACAAAAAAAAATGGAGGAAATTAAGAGAAAGGGATAGATAGTGTGTGTGTGTGTGTGTGTGTGTGTGTGTGTGTGTGTGTGTGTGTGTGTGTGTACCCAAGCTTTTTTCTGCAGTATTCTTGAAAGTTGGATCTATGAAATTGAAAAGGCACACCGATTTTATCCGCCTCAATTGATGGGTTCTTGAGAGTACATTCTCTTGTTCACAGACTGAATTAAGTGTGTGTGTGTGTGTGTGTGTGTGTGTGTGTGTGAGGTGAAAAGCGAAGAAAATAAGTGAAAAAAGTTGTCAGAAGATATTAAAGTAGTTTGAATATCACCAATAAATGTTGGTGAGAGAGCCATCTTGTATATATAACGAGTACAAGCCGACGTACAAGGAAAGATTGTAACAAACAGATATACAAAAGATATGCTAACATATATATGAAACTATCCTAATCTGGTACTCTAACATCCCCCCTCAAGCGCTGCGTGGGGGAAAGATCAACGCAAAGCTTGGAACGAAGGATGGTGAACGTTGGACGAGGCAAACTCTTCGTGAAAATGTCCGCGAGCTGTAAAGACGACGGGACAAAACGAGTAGATAGGCGACCAGCCGCCACAAGCTCTCGAACGAAGTGGTAATCAAGATCGATATGTTTAGCTCGCTTGTGCGCCACCGGGTTTTGACTAAGGAAAATAGCACTCTTGTTGTCGCAAAGAAGAACTGGGCAAGAGGGCAAAATAATACGAAGTTCGGACAGGAGGTTAGAAACCCAAACAAGCTCAGCGGCAGCATTGGCCATTGCTCTATATTCGGACTCGCAGCTGGAACGAGACACCGTTGGTTGCTTCTTAGCACTCCAAGACACAATATTCCCTCCAATGAAGATGCAATAACCATAGGTTGATCGACGAGTCTCAACACATCTGGCCCAATCAGCGTCAGAATACCCCAAAATGGACGTGATCGAGCGCTTTTGAAATTTCAGACCCAAATGCAACGACCCCTTAACATATCTCAAAATCCGTTTAACCGCAGAAAAATGATCAATCGTAGGCGCATGTAGGAACTGACTGACGGTATTAACAGCGAAGGATAAATCCGGGCGAGTAATTGTAAGGTATTGTAGCGCCCCTACAAGAGACCGAAACAATGTGGGATCCGAGAAGGGAGTGCCCGTACTCAGCAGCTGCTCACCCGCAGCTAAAGGAGTCGAAACAGGCTTAGCCTCCAACATATCCGCCCGTTTAAGGATATCATGCGCATATTTAGCTTGACCAAGAAAAAGACCATCAGTAGAGTGAGTCACCTCAAGCCCAAGAAAGTAACTCAAATCGCCAAGATCTTTAATCGCAAACTCCTTGTGGGTACGAAGAATGAAAGCTTGCAGCATGTGTGAGTCGTTGCCTGTTATAATTATGTCATCAACATACAATAGGAGGAATATGTAGGACGACCCTTGGCGAAAGTGAAACAAGGACGAATCACACCTACTTTGAATGAACCCAAGAGAGGAGAGATAGTCGCTGAATCGACGAAACCAAGCGAGTGGAGCCTGTCGGAGGCCATAAAGAGCTCTCTTCAGCCGACAAACATGATTTGGAAATTGCGGATCCACAAAGCCAGGAGGCTGAGCCATAAAAACTGGCTTGTCAAGAATGCCATTAAGAAAGGCGTTTTTGACATCTAGTTGCCTAAGAGACCAGCCATGGTGCACGGCAAGAGCAAGAATAATCCGAACTGTAGTAGCCTTGACAACGGGGCTGAAAGTGTGATGAAAGTCTGTACCAGGCAGTTGTGTAAAACCCTGTGCCACAAGACGAGCTTTGTGGCGTTCAATTGTGCCATCTGCACGGAACTTAGTACGAAAAACCCATTTGGAGCCGACAATATTCGCACCAGCCGGAGAAGGAACCAAATACCAAGTTCCATTGGAGTGAAGTGCGTCCATCTCTTCCTGCATAGCATGAAGCCATTTAGGATCCTTAGCTGCGGATTTGAATCCCCGCGGTTCAGAGGTAGCAACAAGAGCGGAAAGCAGAACCGAGGCCGTCAGGTCAATGGGGTGGCGAGGTTTGAATATTCCGTGACGAGCACGTGTAATCATGGGGTGAGAGGCACCCGTGGAATTGACGGCAGGAACAGGAGCAGCCGGGATAAGAGCAGGAGCACCCGACTGTGGTGAAGGTGGCGGCACAAGATCAGCCGGCTGGGCAGGAGCTGGCTGTACCGGATCGACCGGAGGATCTGGTGCTTCATCAGAAATGATGACTGGACGCACTGCAGCATGGAGGGGAGCTGCGCGGTCCTCAAAAGACAGAGGCGGTGCCGGCATGTCATCGAGAAAGGAAGAGAAATCAAGGCTGGAAACTGGACTTGTCGAAGTGGTTTGAGAGAATGGGAAGCACAATTCGTCGAATTGAGCATGTCGAGTTGTGTAGATACGAGATGTAGTTGGGTCAAGACACCTAAAACCCTTGTATACACAACTGTAGCCCACAAAGATGCAAGGACGGCTCCGCGGCTCGAGCTTATGAAGTGAGTAATCCCTGAGAAAGGGGAAGACGCGACATCCAAAAGGTTTGAATGAAGCATAGTCGGGAACGACACCAAATAAAAGTGCATACGGAGAAGCATTGCGCAAAATAGGGGTGGGCAGCCGGTTGATAATAAAGACCGCAGTGGCGAATGCATCAAACCATAGAGCAGGAGGCGCATGTGCATGAAATAGCATCGAGAGCCCCATTTCAGTAACGTGACGATGCTTGCGCTCCGCACGCCCATTCTGTTGTAAAGTGTGAGGGCAAGAAAATATGTGATGGATGCCATGAGAAAGCATAAATTCCCGAACACGAGTGTTGGTAAACTCAGTTCCGCCATCACTCTGGAAAACCTTAATTTGCCGAGACAGTTGATTGCATACAAGTTTGTGAAATTGAACCAGAACACCAAAGAACTCAGATTTCATACGCAAAGGATAGATCCACGAAAACCGGGAAAAATCATCGACAAATATGGCATAATAACGAAATCCCGCAGAAGTAGCAATGGGGGCAGGACCCCATAAATCACAATGAATAAGGTCAAGCGCAAAAGATGCACGTTTAGCATTCAAATCAAAAGGAAGGCGTTTACTTTTAGCCAAGTTACAAGAAGAGCAAATACGAGTGCTAGATGAATCCGTAGTTACAGTAAGAGACCCACTTTTCTGTAACAATGAGATAATGGAAGAAGAAGCATGGCCCAAGCGACAATGCCACAGCTCGAAGCTTGCCTTTGAGACCTTATTACGAACAGCGGCTGCTAATGCCGGACACCACCGATCCATGTAGTATAAGCCTCCATCACATCGACCCCGAGCCAGGGGTTCCTTTGTCTCCCGATGCTGAATAAGAAACAAGTTTCCAGAAAACACAACATCAACCGGCAAATCTGAAGTTAATTTACTAATAGACACAAGATTTTTGGTGAGATGTGGCACCACCAAAACGTCATTAAGCCGCATACCGTTAGGAAGACGACATGAACCAATGTGTGATATAGATAAATTAGAACCATTACCAACTATGACAGAGGAGTTACCAGAGTATGACTCGAGCGAATCCAAAGTGGCAGGCTGATTCGTCATGTGAGTGGATGCACCGGAATCGAGACACCAGTCAGGCGGAGGGTTGGAGACAGCGCAAGAGGAGGAGAATGCCTTCGCCAAATTTGCCGGAGACATAGATTGACGACACTCAAGAAATTGAGGGCACTTATCAGCATAGTGCGCTCCTTGACAGATCTGGCAGCGAGGTACATAGGGCCGGCGACCACCATTTGAATGACGACCGCCACCTCCACCATTCGAGTGCTGGCGACCACCCCGACCACGATGATTGCTGCGACCGCCACTATGCCCTTGAGGATTGCCACTGTCATGAGAGGAACGATGGCGGGAGGGATCACTCGAGGACGCCGATCGATCAGCATAGAAGGCGACAGAGGAAGGCGGCGTCTCCATTGAGCGAATTAACATATCATACTGCTTCGCTTGATTAAGCAAATCCCTGAAAACCGGAACTGGAGAGAAGGCCAAACGGGTGTCGGCGAAGTGTGCAAATTGAATACCTAATCCGCGAAGAAACCAATGACTTTGGTCAGACGCGTCCACCGGACGACCAATCGCAGACAATTGATCACATAATCCTTTAAACCGCCGACCATAGTCATCAACAGTCATGTCACCCCGACGGAGCGAGAGGAGTTCCTCGCGAAGTTGATGATGTCGAGATGCCGAAGAGAAGACCTCTTCAAGGGTCAGCCATAACTCACGAGAAGAAACGGCGTTAATTACTTCAGATGCAGCCTCTTCAGAAAGGGAAGAGTAAATAACACTGAGCAGCTTACGGTCTTTGGTGCGCCATGAGAGAAAGGCAGGATTAGGGTTTGTGGCATTGTCGGGCAGTGGAGAGAATTGAGAGGGAGGTGTGACAGAGCCGTCAAGAAGGCCTATTAAATCGAAACACTCGGCCATATGAGTGATCTGACGACGCCAAGGAAGGTAATTGGCTGAAGTCAATTTGATGCCAGCCACCATATTAATCATGGTGGCTACTGGAAGAGCATCGGTAGGGACGACCATGGTGAACGCAGGAGGGGACTAGTCCTGCAGAAGAAGTAATTACGACAGAGGAGACCGGTCTGTCGAGAGGAGAATATGACCACGAAGGGAGGGGACCAGTCCGATCGTTGATATAGAGCAGCAGGGAGAAGAAAACGTGAACCCTAGGAAAGTTTTTAGGCTGATACCATATTAAAGTAGTTTGAATATCACCAATAAATGTTGGTGAGAGAGCCATCTTGTATATATAACGAGTACAAGCCGACGTACAAGGAAAGATTGTAACAAACAGATATACAAAAGATATGCTAACATATATATGAAACTATCCTAATCTGGTACTCTAACAGAAGAAAACAAGAGAAGAAGTAAAATTTTGTTTTTTTTTTTGTGCTCCATTCGTATTCAGTTATTCTTCCCTGCCTTCAAATTTTCACCACTTTGCATTTTTTGTTTTCACATTCAGATATTTGTATTTTGAAGAAACATACTTTTATTCTTCACCAAATTATTGGTTAATTTTATTCACTCAATTTTTTAAGGTTAGATCAACACATTCATTTGTGTATATATATGCAGGGGCGGACGCAGAGATTTAAAAGTAGGGGGGCACAATATAATTCATAAGAGAACCAAAAAAAATGACAAACATCACATTACAACAATATAATTCATAAAAGAAACGAAAAAGAACGACAAACGCCACATTACAGTTGTTCTCTACGTGTTTTTTATATTCTGATAGCGTTTAATAATTAATCATTCTCTGTTGTGTCTGTGAGAGAGTAGAAGAAAGAATGCAATTTGAGGTGAGTGAGCAGTGAGTACGAAATGTTGCTACAAAGAAATTTGCTTGAACTTTTTAAATTGCAGTAGGATCCACTAAAAGTTAAAATAATTAAAACATATATACTAATTAATATAGGGACTTTGTTGTAGTGGGAGCACAATAAACTAACATGATTAATATATATACATATACTAGTTGTGGACCCGTGCATTTGCACGAAAAATTATATGATAGAAGAAAAAAATTGTAAAAGTAAATGCATAATCATTGAAAAAAGATTTAAGAAAGAAAATCTAAATATTATTAAACATTTTTTAATATATAAAGTTCGCGTTTTTTCTATCGTCACAGTGATTATCACTATGATATGTATTAAACATTTAATTTAAAGATGTTATGGTTTAAGTTGTCTAAATAATCGAATTTGAAATTATAACCACAAAATTGGAAGAAAAATAACAAATTTTACAAATAATATCTATAAAATAATAAATAAAAAGAAATATTGTGTTAATTTTTACCATTGAGCCATTTTTTTTTGCTTTTTAAACCAAACTAAGAGGCAAGATATTGGGCCGAATTTAAATATTGACGCATCATTTACAACATTATTATGTAGGCGAAATTATTATGTATGAGTATAGTATAATTACGCCGACTTAGTTTTTAGAAAAAGAAAAAAGAATTAACTAAACCCATGTAAGCTCTTTTTGAAATTGTGAGCCCAAAAGGTAAAGTTTTCGTGAAAAACAGTAGCCTGTATAAGCTCTTGAAATTTTTAACCCAACATTAATTATAATGCAGCCCAACCCATTTAAGACCTTTCTGAACTTGTAATAAACGGTCAGCACTTCTACGGCTTTAAAATGCAGGCAAACCCTAGTAGGATGTCAATCTCGCCATTTCTTTCCATTTTATGTCGGCGCATCTCTCGTCTTTTATCTCCCTCTCAAACCGAACCCTACCCTAATCAATTTCTTAAACAGAGTCACCGATAATGACGCCAAACCTTTGAATGCACCAAAATTGAAATAAACACATGAAAATTTATTTTTGAGCCTTGACAAATATCGAAATCTCAAGATCGTCCCGATTTAACAAAATCGTTTTACTAAATCGTAGTAAATCGGTCCAAATCGGGAGATAGCAACATAGATTTGTTAAGATCTAAACTTTTATTATTTTTTTTTTTTAATTTTTATTTGTTTTTCAAGTTTTTAGGGCGATTTTGATTGTGTGTGTGTGTGTTTTTTTTTTTTTTTTTTTTNTTTTTTTTTTTTTTTTTTAAGATTTAGAAGCTTTTTGTAGCAACTTTAAAGTTTTATTTTCCAGATTTTAAGCAAATCATTAAGTTACTTGAAGATCACTTAAGATCGGAGATAGTTTTTAGAAAAACAATTGGCAGAGCCCAGGATGGTTGTTGGCATCTGTTTCTAGCACAAAAGTCACTCGCCGAGGTATTTTGTGCAGATTTCGTAAATATGCCTAAGAATATAATAAAACATTGAGTTATATAAGGTTATCAAAAGTTTATACAAAAAAAAAAAATGGTAAATAGTTACATATTTGTTTGGAAAATAAGGTATATTCAGTAAATTAGTTTTATTTTATTTGTTTATTTTATCTTTAAAACTAACACATCTTGGGCTAAAACCATTTTTTATTTTATTTACATATTATTTAAGTTTATAAACAGTTTGTCTTATATTTTATTTTATTTTTTTTTAAATATTTCTGTATACAAAATTATTTTGATAAAACGTAAGTTTGTTTTAAAAATTTATGCACGTTTTAACATAAGAATGACTGTTTTAATAAATGATAGATTGATTAACTTTGAGCGGGGTATACGGAAAACAATGATTCAACATGAAGGTCGAAGGAGTAACACAGGTAACTTTGCAATTTAATCGGCTTTCATTATGTTTTATTATATATCAAAACAAATCTTTATACTGTTTGTTAAACATATATTTGTGTTCGAAATTATTTGATGTAATGCATGTTAGATCGATTTACTGTATTGTACTCTGAAGCTATATGCTGTATGTTATATCTGTACGAAATGATCTCATGTAACACATACATACAGTCATTTTTATCCGTTCTTGTTTACTATACTCTGAAGATATGAAGCTGCCAACTGTTTTATTATTTTATAGTTTTTATTTATGGTTACCGATATTGAACATATTGCTTAACGTGGATAAGAAGATAACTGAAATCTCTATGAACACAATAGATGAGTAACATTCATATTGAAGTACAAAACATCTCTTTACTGTATCTATGAACACAACAGATGAGTAACATTCATATTGAAGTACAAAACATCTCTTTATTGTATTACAGTATTCATCTAACATTTTTTTTAATTACATGTAGATAAAAAGATTGGTATTGAGCCGAAGTGGATGAAGAGAAGATTGTACCATCAATGCACAACAAAGGTATCAAATATATATGATCAATATAATTTATAGATTTTACGTAAGGCATCATTACCATCTTTTGTGCTTTCTTGTCAGCTCCATTTGGGGTAGAGTTAGTGTATCCCAAACAAATTGAGAAAATAGTTTTTTCATCTATCTTTCGAAACCAAAAGTTATGATTTATGGGCAGGGTTTATATAGTTTCTTTTTTCCTTGGAAATTATGAGTTTTAAATAAGAGATCAGATTTTACAGTAAAAAAATGCATATAATTTAATATTGAGGTTTGATTTCAAGGAATTTTTAATTATAATTTTGTTCATCTAAAAGAATAATATTAATAAGGCTTGATATTTGTTAACAATGATAGATAAAAGTAGGAGGGAAATCTGTAATCAGTAGTCTATAAATATATAGTACATGCATCTTTTTTATGAGTATATTCATATTGATGTTGTTAATTGAAAATACTTGATCTTTGTTATCATTCAACATTCCAACTTCATCAAAATTTTGTGCTGCCATTGTAAAAAATTATGATGAAAAATTATTTGGAAGGAGTTTAGGAGAATGGTGTTTGAGTAGTTGGATTGTAGTCATAGAATGGTAATGTTGACCCGTGAATATCTTCATATAATTGTGGCGCATTTTTTAGTGTTTTTTTCGTTACCTTTTGTTGGCTCCTAATTACTTTTTATGCGAAATACTGTTTGTTCGTAACTTCATGTTGTGTATTTGACAAAAAAATTGATGATATTTTGTAACTGAAAGGTTACTTTAATGCTGATTTATGTAATTTACACATTTTTTTGTTCAATGATTTGAAATTGGATTCAACTAAAATCTCTCTTGAAAATTGATTTGGGTATACAATGGTGATATTTTATCATATACAACATTTTGTTTTGGTTTTAAATAACATTTTTAAAATATATGAGTTAACGATTTTTCTCTTTTTGCAGGTTAAAATTAAAGTATATAAAGAGCTGGTGAAATATTTATTTATTATAAAGAGTTAATTTTATCATTCTTTTATGTGTTGTACTTTTTTTGTGTGTATAGTTTTTCTTGTGCATTATTTATTATGGAATATTTCTAATTTAGTCAGGAATATGAAAAAAATATATTTTCTAAAATCAAAATTTCACTAAGTTAATTAGATGAAATATGGTGAACGAAATAATTTTTTTTCAATAATGAACATTTATTGATTATTATTATAATTAAGTGTTCATTATTGAAAATAAAAATATATTTAGGTAAGGTAAAATAAAAGGAAATTGAAAACAGGGTTTATTGTAACGGCTAGAACTTTAAAGATAGTCAATAAAGTTTTTTTTTTTCTTTTTTAATAGTCAACATTAATTCAAACTTGATCTGTTTGTGTAATAAAAAAATAAAAATTATGTAAACAGTAACGTTTTTTGGCGGGAAATGCCGGCTAAGTAAAATTTAATAGGTTTTCTTAAATGTTATCAGCTAGTAATTATATATATATAGATATGGTATATATCTATGTACTAGAGATTCGAACATTACAGGGGCACTTGCCCCTGCTGGCCCCCCCTTGGGTCCGCCATTGTATATATGTATAGTGTGTTGATTCAATTATATAAAAAAAATTGATAATTACTATAGTTTTTCTACACGCACAGGCTCGGGAAAAATTAGAGATTTAGTCCTTTAAGTGGTACCAATTTGAGGTTTAGTCTTGTAAGTGGACAACTTTTATAAAAAGTCCCTTAAGTGCAAAAAAACCTGAAATTTCGTCCTGTGACCGACATTTTTTTTTTGCTGAGT